AGGCTCAGCGCGTCATGGCCATCAAGGCCTTAATCAGCTCTGGTCCCCCTTCAGTCGTTCATCAGCAGCCGTCTTGTCTGGGTCGACATCACGCTCGCGGTCTCGTTTCTTACTTTTGCCATTGCCGTCGCCCGCCTTGGTCTTGCCAACGTCTGTCTCGAGAACCTCCATGGCTGCCCCCATCTGAGCCACCAGTTTAGGCGAAACCTTTGCCAGGTCCGACTTCGTGATGCCCATGCTGGCAACAAACTGCAGCACCTTCTTGCAAGCGGCGCCCATCTGCGAGGCATGCTTCTTGTTCAAGAAGAGATCGCAAGCCAGCATGAGAGCGATGGTCATTGTCACATCACGCCGAACCTCCTCGCCGAAAACTGGAACTGCAAGGCAAAGGAAGCTTTTGAACTCAACTGCCACATCGTTCTATTTAATAATTCAAAACATTTTGCCCGCGAACCCTTTTTAGGCGCAAACTCCAAACTGTTGAAGCAAGCTTCTAGGGGGGCAACAACGAAACCGGGCGCGCGTCCTGCATACTCTGCAAAAGGTTTTGAAGGTGACCAGGAAATCCAGGGGCGAAATCTGTCCCCAGACCCTGAGACTGCGCCAGAACTTTATGAATGGACTTGCCAGCCTCATGCAAGCTGCTCCGCTGCTCCTGCAACAGCGCCATGTCGGCGTCTACGTTCTGGTCATCTTGGAAAGCCCACATGACAGGCTCCATTTGCCAGGAGCGCGCGCAGTCCTGAACAGGCCTCAGCACGCACGCCGCCAACAATAGTTGCCGACACAATAACACAGCTGACACAGCAGCGCAACCGCACTGCGGCCAAGCCGCCAACTGCTGAAAACGGAACGTTTAAACGGTTGTCTGTTGTCTGCTTGAGGTAAAGAGCGTGCAAAACTGAAAAAAACTACACCACGCAATGTCAATGTCAATGTGAACTCAATGACTGAATGGCCCATCATCCCCCACAATGCTCGCGCACATAGGCCCATATGGTCCATAACAGCCACGCGGTTGCAGCCAAACATCTTGTACTTTTCGCCAAGGATGCGGAACGCCTTGAGACATGCCTCAAACTCGTCAGTGAGAGACTTGATAGCGTCCTGGAACTTGGACTGAAGGCGTCTGCAGCTGCGCTGCGCCGTGTCCGGCATGAAGGACAGAATATCCTGGTTGAGGGTAGCAACCTTCACGAATGTCGGCATTGCAGGCGCCAACGCGGCGAAGGTGGAAATCTCCTGGCTCGCATCCTCCAGCTGCGTTATGGCTTCGATTGTTCGCAAGCAACCTTCCAAGAACGGGGTTGGCGAAGGGAACGTCTGCCTGGCCTGCTTCGGAACGGACTCAAATGACTCCTTCTCGTTTGCCGAAGCCATGAGAAGGTTCACTAGCCAGTGCTTCCCAGCAGCATCAACAAGGTTGCACAAGCGGTCGGTGGCCTCCAAACACTTCAGAAGCACTTGGTGGGGGCCAGGGAGCGCGTCTGCCGCAGCATCTCAAGGGACCAGGCCAGCATCGGCCGCTTGCTTGCGCAACCTTTCCAGGCTGCACCACAACTCAATGGACTTGCGCATGTCCCCCAATTGCATGAGTGTCTCACTGCGGTAAATGTTGACCCTTCTCGGTTGTTTAACCTGTTCTATAGTGCGAAAGCAAGTAGTGATGTTTTCGTTCGATGCCCGAAAATTCTGGCCAAGTGTCTAGAAAGGGCCAGGGGAACAGCCATCCAGGGTCTGTTGAAAGGCCATCCGGAAGCAGCATGTTCTTGCCATGCCTCACATGACGGTTGGGATAGTTGTGAGAGCACGAAATGGCCGAAACCTATCGCGTAGAGACCAACTCTGGCCCAACCAAAAAGTGCTTGACCCCATGAGATCACTTATTAGCAGCTGTTTGGTGCTTTGGATTTTTGGGCCCTGAGAGCCTGATAAATGCCCGGAAAGATTTGAGAATGGAGGATCGTGATTGGCTCTGTGTTCTTTGGAAGCTAGGGTTTTCAGGAACACACGATGACCGGGCCTGGCCCCGTCACGAAGGCAGCATGAAGGACGGACCTGGCCTCAGAATGACATCTCGAGATCTGGAAAGCCGCCTGAATATGTTGGAAGTTGTTTCACGTACACGGACTGCATAGCCATGGAGCGCAAGACCTGTTCAGTCCACTTTGCAGCGCAGTCCAGCAGGGGGCTCTCCACAATGGAATGGAGCGCTCCAACCTCAACGCGTGGCTGCAATCCGTCTTACTCATCTAACAAGTAGGCCGCCAAGGCCGTACCGTAAGCTCGAAACAAAGGCTCAGGACCCAAGCCCCTTAAATTATGACTCAAATGCTTGGGCAACAAAACCGCTCCTTCACTCCCCCGCGCACCTGCGGCTTAAAGTTTGAATCAGATCTGGGCCAAAAGGGCCAGAAGCCAGGGCAACATAGGCAGCCGAGCGGCGGTAGGCGTCCACTGTGCTGCAAATCAAACTTGGCTGGCAAAGACGCAGTCTCACCAAGGGCGTCACCCATAAGGTGTCAAGCCACTCAAGCCACCGGCTCGTCAAAGAAGCCAAGCACGGACTTGCGGGAGCCCTTCAACTTGCACAATCTGCAGCTCTTTGGGCCCCAAACCATCAACCTTGACCAAATCGTCCAGAAGCGTTGGAAAGCCAGCCGCTGAGCCAAGTCGCTTGCAGCGGACTCGCCGGGGGGGCTGCCGTCAATGTTCTGGCCAAGGCCAAGGAAAGGGAAAGACTCTTCAGCAGCGGCGCATTGTTGAAGAGCGCCGCTCAACTTCTGCAAAGCCTCTGCCTGCTCCTTGGCCACCTTGACCAACTGCTCTGAATCGACGGCCTTCTTAGCCTCTGCCACGCCCTTCAGCCACAAATTCCTAAGCAGGTCACACCCGCTCGGACCCAAAACCCTAAGAAAACACCAACACTGACAAGCGCAGCCCGCTGTCTTCAAGGCAGGATTGCTCCGCAAGGCCAGGGTTGTCCGCGAGCTGAAGCCAAGAGCAGAGGCTGCCTCCCGAAGCCAAAGGCGATCAGCGTTGGACAGCTCCTTCCTGGGTGGTGTAGCCGGTGTTGTTGGACCACGCATCATCTTTTGTCTTCATGGACGGAGGGCCTGGAACAGGCTCGCACCTGGCACACTGGCAAAACACAGTACAATTGTAGGGCGGAAGGAGTGGAATTTGACTGAAGTGAAACTGAGGCTCTGATACCAAAAAAATGGACAACCTCGCAAAGGCAACAATTGAAAGGGACCTACAGTCACCTTCGCGTGTTGCCCGGCAGCCCGCCTCAAAGCAGAACGTTCGTCCATCCAGAAAGGCAAGTTCTCGACCACGTCAGCCACCGACACGGACCGGAGTCTGTCAATCCAGTTGTGCACCAAGGTCGTCTGTGTCCGCAGGAGGATGTTGTCCACCCACCCTTGCTTGTCAAAAAGCATGCTGAAGTTGAAAATGCCATCGGTGTCTGCGGTCGCCTGGGTGGCCACGAATCTGAACATGTCTTTGCAGCTCGCCTCCGGCGCAGGCACAAAACACAAGTCCAGTCTGTCAATATGTCTGTTGAATGAACTCTGACTCTGACAGTTAGTCTACAGCCTCGGCAAGTTGCAACTTCAACTTGGGACACGCGAACTTTGGAACTTGCGACTCTTCTTGTAACACAGCAAGCTACGGAGGGATCGGAGCCATGCTTTTGGCAAAAGTTGGAGCAAGACCTGTCAAGCAATCAAACAAGGGAAAGGTGCGCACGGACGCACATGCCCGCACGCACGCACGCACGCACGCACGCACGCACGCACGCCGCACGCACGCACGCACGCGCGCGCGCGCACGCACGCACGCACGCACGCACGCACGCACGTAACCACACACACACACACCCACCCACGCACAGACACACACACACACACACACCACACACACGCCAGCTTCTGCCCCACGGACATCAGGATGGAAGCAAGCGTCTCAGCGTCCATGTCTGGGCGGCCAACGTGATGCGCAAGTCGGAAATTGCCAAGGGCTGCTTCACAAAGCCCACGACATTCTTCTCGGAACGAAGCTGTTTCAAGGTGTCATGCAATTTGGGGACCATCTTCAAGAGTTCCTGAAAACGGGCAGAAAAAGCCCCAAGCTCGCTGGACAAAGCCTCGGACGCTGTTTTGGCGGCCTGGTCAAGATCTGTCACTAGCGAAGCAGCCTTGTTGATGCGCGTGTTGATCTCGGTGTCTCGCAAGGAGCCCTTCCAGAGCAAGGAAGGAGTGAGCTGCTCCAAGCTCTTCACTACGTTGTTGGCGTTGTCCAACAGCGGCTTGGGACCGCTGTCTGCCTTTGGAGACGGCTTGGCCTTGCGAGACCCTTTTTGCTTTTCCGCAGAAACTGGCGCGCCCGCTGGCGCCGAGCTTGGAGCGCTAGGGGTGCCGGGCACCTTGGGCTGCGCCTGCTTGGACTTGATCCGGGTCTTGGGCATTGGCGCTGGATCGGGCGGCTTGCTTCTGGCAGAGCCGCTTGCGCCCTCAAGGCCAAACCTCAGAAGCGCCCACAGGACCAACGTGGCGAAATTGTTTTTTGGCAAACATCCACGATCGTCCATGTCTCATGGATCCTGGCTCCCTGACTCGCTCGTTCCCCTGACTCCATGGTCAAAACTGCAAGCTGTAAACAAGTAATTGAATTGGGACGAGCAGCGAGCTGGAGCCACTGCTATCCAAATCATTGGAGCCACGGTCCGAGTCTGAGTCGCCAGAGTCAGCTGCATCCTTGCTGGCTTTGATCTCCTCCTCGCAGGAACAGCCCCCTCCGTGAAAACCCAACATGAATTCTGACAATCGGATCTGCTGCGCTTACGCGTCACTCGCTGCTTACTAACTCACAAACTGCCGCAGCCCCGCCTTGGAGTTGGCAGCCACCGCCAAGTTGGCGCTGTTCTTCTTGTGGGCTTCCTTGAGGGCACCCTTGGAAGGTTCCTCGCCGAAATCATGCTGCTTCAGCTTGGAAGCTCAGAGGCGCTTGCCGATCTTGATTTCCTTCTCATCTGAAGCCCCATCTTTGGCAACGGCAACTCCCTCAACGCCCCTCTCATCTTTCTGAAGACGGATATTCTGCTTTAAGAGGAAGGCCTTCCTCTGCTGGTCATTCTTGAACTTCTTGCTCGCGAAATTCAAGTCGCAAAAGCGCTTGAGAGATTGCCATGTCAGAACCTGAGTGAGCAGGGAAAAAGCAGAACACTCCGACACAAGCGACCAGGTGACCACCGCCTGCGGGAAACCCGTTGCGACGAACACAAACAATGCTGGAAAAACATCCCCCCCCCCGACCCCGCGGCAGCTCGAAAAGACTCAGAAGGGCCTTGGACTGAAATGTTACAATAACGCCGCCGCCTTGCACAAGCTTGCGTGAAGGTCAAGTCGCTGGAAAAAGCAGAACCCCCCACCCCGCACACCACACAATGCCCATGCCACACAACAAGCTGAGAAGCTTCCGCCACGTCAACATACATCTCCTCCTTCCTCTCCAGAAGAACTTTCAAGTCTGGCTTCTCGTGGCGGTATCTGCGCGCAGGGTACATGATGGAGAACTGCGTCCCGCTTCTCCGCATGGATTCAAACCTGACTGCAGCGCAACTGCATCTGACATCTGCCGTTTGCTGCAATACGCTGCAATGCAACCCGAAATGAAGGAAAACTTAGGCCCACGCAAAACCTTCCAACCAACCACTCAAACCATGCGTTCCTTCTGCTGCAAAGGAAACATCGGCCAACAATCAAAATCAATCACTAAGGACTTTAAGGACCCGACTTGTCTGCGAACCCGTCATTCTCCTGAATATTTTGGACCAGCTCAGATATCTTCATGTTGCCCAGGCTGCCCCGCTTCACATAGAAGCATCGCTTGCGTAAGCCAGCTCCTGCGTCCTTCACAGTGCCCCTCCGGGTTGTCCTGCAGCGGGGCAACGGATGGAGCAAAAATTGCCGTCGCTTGGCAACGAAGCGCGCGCCGTCACTAATTGCACCCCGTCAGTTGTTTGCAAACGCCCGCCTTGTCAAGGGCTCCCTCTTCCTGGCCACAGGCCAAGCATTTAGAGATCTCACCATCTTTCGGCTCTTCAGCCATCGCTGCTGCTGCAGCACTGCAGAGCAGCGCAACTTGCCCACACCCACAGTCAAAGAAAACCTTGAAGGACTAAATTGCCCGCGAGTAGACGGACGCACGCTGCATGAAAGCTGTGGAGTTCCAAGAACACAAGAGGCAAAAGTCATAAGCTTCATAGTTCGCAAGGGCAATCGTTGTGGCGTTGCCTGAGTTTGCAGCGCACATTGGGGCGCAGCGTGCTTTGTTTAGCTTACGGTATACGCAGCGGCGAATTCTGGCCCCTTAAATCCTGAAGGCCTTGTGGGCCTTCTTTATGACATGCAACGCGTGGAAGTGTGGCAAAAGCAGTGTGTTTCGCCTCCCCTTTTTTTGCATGACTCGCAATCCGGCCAGCTACTGAGCCACTCACACCTGGTCGAGAACCCATCCATTCACCAGGCCCCAGGGAGCGCAAGGGTTGCGCTGCTCACCGCTGCTTTCACGTGTGGAATGAGTCAGGATCACTGACACTGCCATTGTCACTTTCATTGCTTGACCCCACACCTCTGCGCCACGGGGGTGAAGGGTTGGAGGCAAGACGGGAGGCTCGCATCAATGGCCGTCCGTGTCGCCCAGGCAAGGCAAAGATCATTTGTGAAAACATTGCAGCTGAGAGGACGCTTGTTGTCATAGCATTGCCTTCGCAAGGCAAGTCAATCACGCAAGTTTGTGCGCAACGCAAGCCCCTGCGAAAAATGCGGCAGCACAGAGAACAACCCCACGCCTGACAGCAAGTTGGCCAAGCGGTACTTGCTGACTTGCAACCTCCTTGGGTCGAAGCCCTGCATTAGCAGGAGCTCCTGGCGCGAAGGCCAAAAGGCCCCCCCGAAACGGAATGGCATTGTGGACTATCCATGTACACAACTATCTCTAATACTCTGAACACACAACGACTATGACTGCGCGACTGTTTGACTGCAACCAAATCAAAGAAGCAAGACAAGGGGCGTGAGCTTTGCCCGGCCTGCCCTTCCAGTAGCCGTTGCAAATAGAAGTCCCAGTATTTATTCGAAGTTGTGATTGCGCTGCATTTGCCACCGCAAGACACGGAAAGCCTGGCAAGACTTCCTCAGAAAGCGCAGCAATCGCAGCAACGGCCCTTGAACAAATATCAGTTGCGTAGCGTGTCAGAATTTGAATGGAAGAGCCAGAGCCTAAGAACAGGTCTGGCCAAGTCCGCCGCAAAGCGGAACTTCCGCGGGCGCTTTTTGAGCGCCTTGCCGCTGCCGGCAACGACAACGTGTCACAAGCGGAAAAGGGGTGCTTGGCTTAAGCATAACTTAGACCCCGCCCCCGCCAACAGCATCAAAAACGCTACGCCACCTTGAACCCGTGCGTTCTGGACATCCTGTTGCCCTGCTCAACATACGGTAACAGACGCGTGCAAACCGATGGTGTCTAGAAAGAAATCCACACCTCTATCTAGCCTAGGACCCCTAAGTAAGACAGAGTTACGGTAGGTCGTAGGTCCAACACTGTTGCGGCGAATGCCTCTTGACTCTTCTTTGCCAACATTGAACTTAGTCGTTTTGCCCTTAGCACAATCTTCTAGCACACCATGTCAAGCACTGCGCTGCATATAGTACGGAACGGTCCAGACGGTTCCATACTCTATTGGTTTGCGCCTGTTTTTGCCGGAACTATAGAGACGGTTCGGAACGGTTCCGGAACTATATATTCTTCTGCTTCAAACACAGTACGGAACGGTCCAAACGGTTCCATACTGTTCCCTCCAACGACGCAATCTTCAAAGCTCAAAGCCAGACAGACAGACAGGATGTGACAGGATCCTATAATCACAACAACTCTGCAAGCAGTGGAAATAAATAGTGCGACACATGTCAAATGACATCTTGAATAAACCGCAAAGAGGCTCAAGTGTTTGGATGAGACGGCACTTGTTTGTTTGATAAGCTTGGTGGCTTTGCTTATTGTTCCGCGCGGGGCTGTCTTGTTTGTGAATGTGAGTCAATCGGTTTGGGGGTTGTGACTTGAGTGTTCCTGTTGGCTTGTGGGTTACAGCAAGCAGAAGTTCAGGAGTTTTAATGAGAAGTAAAAAGCATCAGCTTTGGCAGACACTGCTTTCTGCGTCCCGGATCCCTGACACGCCTTGCTGATGTACTCCCACAAGATATTCAGCTCGTTCAGGTGCTCGTAGCTGGAAGGCTCAAGCATTTCAGTGTAGGGAGTGTAGCCATCTGGGCCAGGCAGCGGCAGGATCAAACTCTGAAACCAAACTCTCCACACTTACTCCAACCAACTCAAACTCAGCCAAATGGCCTGTGTCCACGCCCAGCTGCTTCTGCCATTTTTGAATCTCCGTCAAGCCCTTGTCAGTCATCCGGCGTCTTCCTTTCTTTTCAAAAAAGGGGGGCCTCCGGCGGCCTCCACTTGGGCTGGAGTCCTGAGGGTGGGGGCGGGGTCAGTACTTCAGTCTTGAGGAGCGGGGGGTTCATACGGGTGGCAGAAACAGCGCCCAAAAAGATAGCTTTCGGGCACTGCTATCGTCTGTCATCTGTTTTTGCTTGCAGCACTGCAGCTCAACTCATGAGTCAATGCTTCTGCCGGCCCTGATTTTTCTTAGCCAACTACCGCCACCTGTCACCTGTCCAACTGCGCCTAGCAGAACCAATGATCGACGATGATCCTCACTCTGTCAAGAAAAATCCTCAACTCGCACCTCAAGCGGTCACATCTTTGTTCCCCTCAAGGCGGCCAACTACGGTCTCAAGACGGTGGTGGACCAGCACTCCCTAGACATAGCGGCGAGGATCACGCCGCTGGAGGTGGACACCAAGGTGGCCAACGCTCTCCTGGGGGCCGTCACCGCCGCGGCGCTGGCCTCCAAGCTCGCAAGCAGAGACGGTGGAGAGCAGGGTGGACGGACTGGACACGCCACTGGAGGTAGACACCAAAATAGCAAATGCCCTGCTGGGTCTCGCCACCGAGGCCTTCGTCGCAGCGCAGCTTGCTAGCCGGGACGCCAGCATCACGGCGCTCCAAGGGGCCAAGGCCGACGCGACGCTGCTGGCCTCATACGCCACGAACGCCGCGCTCTCAGCCAGCGAGACCGCGCTCCAGAGCGCCCTCGACGCAATCCTCGCGGAGCTCGCCGCCCTGCAGCTTTCCGGCAGCGGAGTTGTTAACGCGCCGGCCTGGGCGGGCTTCACAACGTGGGAGCTCCTTCGCGGAAGCAACGTCGTTCGCAACCTGCACTTCATGGCTCCTCTCTCTGCTGCGCTGGCCAACGGCGACGACACGCTGAGCATCACGGCAGACTGCTACTCCACGGCGGGCACTGACGCCGCTATAACAGCGGCCTTGCTGGCCTACTACACCTCCTCACAAGTGGACACTCTGTTGGGAGACTACCGAACCGGAACGGCGCAGGACACGGAGACGACCAGCGCCATCACGGCCGCGCTGCTGGCCTACTACACCTCCTCACAAGTAGACGCGCTGTTGGGAGACTACCGCACGGCGAGCGCGCAGGACACGCAGACGCAGGCCGCCATCACGGGCGCGCTGCTGGCCTACAGGACGGGCCCGGACCAGGACGTCTTCACAACCAACCAAATCACCTCGGCGCTGGTGGCGTACCGCTCAGCCGCCGACCAGGACACGGCAACGGCCTCAAGCATCGCCGCCGCGCTGCTCAGCTACTACACCATCACGCAGGTGGACGGTTTGTTGGCCAACAAGCTCGGAGTCACGGAGGCGGCCTCGGCGCTGCAGATAGCAGTGCGCTTTCCGGACGACGGAGGGGCCGACGAGGTGGTGGCCGCCATAGGAGAGCAGTTCCTGGCCCCCACGGACGTCTCGCTGTCAAACTGGACGGTTCGCCCCAGCAGCGGCTGCAGCGTGGTCCTGGCCACGCACACCGCGGGCGCAGTGAGCGTGGACGGCTAAACCCTGACCCTGGCGGTGAACCCGTGGAACATCGTGCGCACCTACAACTTGACCCCGGGCCGAGAGCTCCTCTTCGCCTGCCGCTACCGGCTCGGCACGGCCTCCAACTTCGTGGTGTACATGTCCGAGGCAGACAACGTCTACGACCCCTTGTACGGCAGAGGCCGACAACGTCTACGCCTGGACGGCAGCTTCGTGGGCGACCAGGGTGCCTGGAGCACTGCCAAGATGTACTTCACAGTGCCTCCGAACGGGGTGGCGAAGCTGCACTTCGGGGCGCACTTCCAGGCGCCGGGCCTGCCCAACCAGACGGCTGGAACGGTGGACGTCTACGGCCTCCAGATCCTGGACGCAACCCTGGAGACCGGCAACGCGGCGGCGGAGGAGGACACGGCGGCCTCGGCGCTGCTGCTGAAGCACGAGTTCCTCGACGGAGGGGCCGACGACGTCACGCTGGCCACCCTGGGCGAGGTGCTGCTGGAGCCCACGCTCACCACGCTAGGAAATTTCCTGGTGCGCTCCAACAGCCAGAGCTCCGTGGCCTCGGCCAGCTTCACGGTGGGAGGCTTCCAGCTGGAGGGCTACGCCATGACCCTGAGCGCCTTCGCCTGGAACATCGTGCGCACCTACACGCTGACGCCGGGGAGACGCTACTCCTTCGGCTGCCGGTACCGGCTGGGCACGGCCTCCAACTTGGTGATGTACGTCAGCGCGGCCGACAACGACTACGTGGGCGTCACCGGCACCTTCCTCGGCACGCCCTCGCAGGGAGTCTGGAGCACGGCGCGCCTGGACTTCTCGGTGGCCGCGGAAT